AATTTCAATTTTTTTATTAATTAATGCGTTTAAGCCGAATTGCACTCGGCTTCCTTTATTCCAAAAATGATTATTTAGAAATATTTTTTTTTAATTGACATTTTGTTTCTCACCAAATGTTGGTGATTATTATATCCCTAAAATTTTGATTAAAAATTTCAGAAAGCAATTTATTTATTAGAAAACAAAAATTTTCAATTTTTTTTATTAATTAGTGCGTTTAAGCCGAATTGCAAACGGCTTCCTTTATTCCAAAAACGATTGAATAGAAATTAATTGACATTTTATTTCTTACCAAATGTTGGTAATTATTACATCACTAAAATTTTGACTAAAATTGTCAGAAAGCAATTTATTTATTAGAAAACAGAAAATGTCATTTTTTTTTGTTAATTAATTCGTTAACCCGAATTGCAGTCTGCTTCCTTTATTCCAAAAACGATTAATTAGAAATTAATTGACATTTTGTTTCTCACCAAATGTTGGTAATTATTATACCCCTAAAATTTTGACTAAAAATGTCAGAAAGCAATTTATTAGAAAACAGAAAATTTCAATTTTTTATTAATTAATTCGTTTAAGCCGAATTGCACTCTGCTTTCTTTATTCCAAAAATTATTAATTAGTAATAAATTATTTTTTAATTGACATTTTGTTTCTCACCAAATGTTGGTAATTATAATATCCCTAAAATTTTGACTCAAAATGTCAAAACGAATTTTCATACATTTTCATTTTTTCGAATTTTACTTAGAAGAAAACTATCATAGGTCTTGACTACGATCATTTTCACTCACTTTTTGAAGAAACTACCATTCAAGAGACAAGAAAATGCTTAAAAATTTCAATTTTTTTTGTCCAACTTACGACTTTGTTAAGTATTTAATTTACTCATTAATTAAATTTTGGTTTCAAAATGTATAAATGTCTAAGAATACTCAACACACCTAAATGTAAATATATTTCTTAAAACTTTCTTTACCTTTTTCGATTATACTTCCAAATGAGTTTCGTTATTCTATAGAATTGTAAATCAGTTTAAAATACGTTGATGTTGGCGATTTAATTATGCATAACTCAATTTATCGCATTCATGAAGTCATGCATAAAAATGCTGCTTAACATCAATCTCAGTGGAGTAGTACAATTCAAGTTATTAATTTTACAAAACAGGAGCCTAAAATTGCTTTTTAGCCACCTACTTTAGTTCCAAGCTCAAAGTTACATTTTTGTGCTAATTTAATACAAACTGTTTACCTCGATGAGGCGTGGGACTCGGCTGTTGAAGCAACGTGGCCAATCCGTGATACACAGCGCCCCCTTTGGCCACCTCCAGTGTAACAACACTCCCGGTCCTTACTAGAAACTCTGCGGCTTTTTCTTGTGTGATTCCCAGAAGGGATTGTCCATCAACAGATAGTAGTTGATCACCGGCAGCCAAACGCCCGTCTCTATCAGCAGCCCCTCCGGGAACCACCGATTTTATGTAAATTCCTAGTCGCTCCTGACCGGCCCCTTTCGCCGCAACGATCGACAAACCCATGCCTCCGCCCGCTTTATGCAAACGAATGACTTGTACCTGGGGAAAAACCGGTTAATAGAAAAATTGTAGAAAAAAATTGTAATTCACCTCCGGTTGAGTCGTACTCAGAGCACTAGGAGGTCGCGGTGCCGACATGTACACCGTCCAATGCCCCGAACTCGTCGGTTGTGCGGCCAAACGACACAAACCCGACGCTTGCAACGGATGGAGAAAGTCGGCAAGACCTGGTGGTACCCCTTGGACAACATCGCAACTGAAACCATCGTCAGGAAGCAAGAGTTGGAGAGGTGGCGCTGGATCTTCGTAAAGTGTGACTTCACGACCTTCAGCACGTGCCAACTCATCGGCGACGCTTTCGGCCGCTTTAGCCGCCTGTTCCAGCAACGGAGGTGGTGCCAATTTCTCCCCAGGTTCGGCCTTATACTGTCTTAATAACGCCCCCAACTGCATCGAATTCAACTTGAAACAAGCCGAAGACAAGTTGGCCAAATCCTCTGGTGTGTATTTGGGGGCTTGCATCAAATGTGCACATTGCACAATCTTCGCAAGGTGGCATTCAGCCGCCAATTCCAAGCCCTGGGATTCCGCCCAAGCTTGTAAATTCCTCAATCGATTAAACAACTTATTCCCGAAGCTTCTCGTGCACAAATTACTATTACTGATGATGTTCGCGAGAGCTTTCGCCGAAATCCAGTGAAACAATTGCGAAAACAATTGGATGGTCAAGGCAGCATTGACCCGACATTTCCTTAAGAGATTCATAGCACCACTGAGAATATTAATGACCTCACGGGGGTGGTCATCCCCCGAGACTGACATTAAATGTGCCATCGCCGTGTTTAATTCGTCGGTGAGACAAGCGACTAGATTCTTGAAAGCTAGTTGCACCCCATCGGCGAGGGTGTCTTGTGCTTGGATTGAGAAAGCACTGACGTGGCGATCCGATTTGAGGAAATGCAACAGTTCACTAGCGTTGGCCAACCAGAAGGCTTGAGAGATGCTTTCGGTGCTGCGGTCTTGTACCGTGTGTCGGATCAACATGGCGGCGTGTTGGAGCAAAACGGTGAGTTTGTGGGCACGTTCTGTTGGTGTTAGTTCGGGTCGGTAGTGAGTCGATGCACGATATCGGGCACAGAGGTATAGAGTGTAAGCGGGGGCTAGGCGAAATGTTGGTGTTGTCACGTCTAGATGCGTTATCACGCGAGCGAGGAACTGCTCTTGGGGGTCTTCGGGGAATTCCAACACCGCGGGGAGGATGGGGTCCTGCCCGCGGGGGTACCGATCCATACCACTCAATCTATTTAAAAAAAAAAAACAATTTTATTTTTGTTGACATTTAATGTAAAACATGTGAAACAGCCCTTAGATAAGGCCACGATCGTAAAATAGACAGGTCTGGAAACTCGTGTTTCAAAATTGAATTAAAAAATTTGGATCTCAGTAGGTTTTGAGGGCAACTATACCCGTGGTGCCTCTATCGGATACTACGTTAATTACTGCGTATTTATGAACGAAAAATTACGTCTCCGTTAAATTAGCGCTTGTCATAATTTGTTAGGTTACTGTGGGCTTGTCAAAATTGTTAAAAAATGTGCAAAAAACAACTTAATAAGCGCCACATATAAAGAACAATATGTTTAATAAAAGTGGCAGCTAAGTGCCGTTTCATTTATTTAGTCCTCGAGGAGGTTTTTGGTTTGGTTTTACACTTGATGATATCCTTTAACTTTTAAACAAATCTGCATCTTTTAGAATAACGGTCATGCTATCAAGTCAATCCACAGCATTTATTAATTGCCACCTTACCATCTAGTAGAAAAAAAAAGAGTAGAACACATTGCTGTTATTGTTCTTTACACAAGAGGATACCTAGATGATTATAATGCAAGACTTTTAAAAAAGACGTGGAAAAGAAGTGTTATTGAAGAAATAAAACAACAAATAAATAATGTTATAGTAAGTAACTTTTATACGTGTTATTTTTTAGTTATCCAAGTCTAACTAATAATGTAGCGATCAAGGTTGGTGTAAAATGTACAATGTAGAAGGATTTTGTAAAGACAATCTTCCAAGATTTATAAAAATGCTGTTTTTTACTTGGTCAGAAACACGATGGTCGGGACCCACTTCGTGTACAGCAAAATTTTTTGAATAATAAAGAAAACCACAGTCACAATAAAGACAATTTCAGGATCTATTTTTGTGGTGAGCGGGCACTTTGTAAACAGAGTAAAGAAATAAATAATTTTTTAAAAACTTGATTCATTTGTGGACTCATTTATCTATAGGAATTTAAAGACAAAATATTACTTTTTAGACTACAAATATGTCAAAACTCAAAACCCTAGTCGATTAAATGCTTTAATGTTAAATGTTTTAATCTTTTTTCTCAAAATGTAATTGACAGCTTCTGTCTTCTCTTTGCAGTACAGTATTTAGAGTTTCATCCCTTGCCCTTAGGTCCAATTTTTCTTTCACKCAAAAAAAAACACAATTGTTTACTACTTCATTTAGTCGTTCAATGGAAAACAGCACAAATTCTGGGCATCTGCAGAAGTGTTTTTGTGTAAACAAGATATAAAAACCAAATATATTATTTACCTTTTTGATTGCCAAAAACATTGAACGACAAACTCAAAACCAAAAATTTTTTTTAATATTTAATTTAGATAAGAAATCAAGTTAAACAGAACGAAAGAAAACAAGATATTAACCAAGAAAACATGAAGTATAAATCAATGAAAACCATCTTAAAACACCGAAAAACTGTGCACAAGCGGCTAAAATATTTAGAAAAGTTGGAAATAGAGAAAAATTTGCTTTTTAAATTTGTGGTTAGCTGCCAAAATGCTGTCAAACAGTGAATTAATAAAATCACCACGTGAAGGCGCCACGGGTATAGTTGCCCTCCATAACCACCTGCGATTCTGAAAAAATAATTCAATTTTCAAACGTATTTATGAATGGAGTTTCCAGACCTGTCTATTTTACGATCGTGGATAAGGCACTTGTCCTTGTCATTTTCACGTTTAGAAAAGTCAAATTTGACGTTAAAGTGAAGTGTCAAAAATTGTATGTCCCATTTTTTTGTTTATTTAAATTATATTGAAAAATGTAAGAGATTGAAATTACTTTTTACAAAAAAAAAAAAAAATTAATAAAAAATCCGAAAGCTGAGTTTCAGGTCGTTTTGTCTTTGGTTTTCGTTAACTATTAAAAAAAATAGGATGTTATTTTCTAACAAGAAGCAGCTTTTGTGTTAAATTATGGTCTCTGAATGTGGTATTTTGGTCTGTTTCCATTTCCTAATAATTTTTTTTTATGAAAAACAGCTCATATTTTAAAGTATTAATTATTTTGGATTACTCTCTAATAGAAATCGGCTTTACTTTAAGATATTTTGTAGAATTATGGCAAAAATCGCAAAATTAAATAAGCAGTTTTTTAAAAAAATTACTTTTATTTATATTACTCTTAACATTTTTTTTTACTTACAAGATTTGATCAGTTCTATAATTCAGTTTTCCTTTACTATTACGCAAGATTTTACTTTTTTATTGTTAATATTACAGATGAAGAATTTAGGTCAAAGCAGAAACTTTCAAAATTTTGCAAAAAAAAACAATAATTACTTGACAAAATTGTAGTTGAAGTCTAAAAACAAGCAGTTTTACAATATTAAGCAAATAAAATTCGTAGTTTTCATAGTCAACCTGATTGCGTTGAATTAATAGAAAAAAAAAACGCAAAATAAATGTTATTTCTAGCTATTTTTTTATATAATTTTTTAATAGTAATCTTTTTTTTTAAAGAATCTCAAAATCGAGCTCAGAAAGTCATTTCCACTTTTCATTAAGATTATTTTTTTAAACATAAAATGAAATTTGAATTAAAAAAATGTTGGAACCATGGGAAAAAATCGAGTACCTAAGTTACGTTTTGTCTTTGATTTTTCGTTTTTTCTATTTAAAAAAAACAAGTTGAATTAATGTAAAAAAGTAAAATCGAGTTACTAAGATGTTATTTCTTAATAAAAAATCGGATTTATTTAAACAAGTTGTGTTAAATTAATGCAAAACTTTTACTATTATATGTTGGTCTGGTTTCATGCGGCTTCTTATTTTTTTTAAACTGCATTTTTTTTAAGAATTTAATGAATTAATTAAATGTTTCTAATAGAAATCGGCTTTACTTGAAAATATTTTGAACGATTATGGCAAAAATCTCAAAATCCGATTTTATTTCAACCAGTTTTTTAATAAAAATGCAAAAAGCAACATTTATTTGTATTACTTTTAACATTTTAATTTACCTATAAAAATTACACAATTTGATCACCTCTACAATACAGCTTCTCTTTACTATTGTGCAAAATTTAACTTTTTTTATTATTAATATTAATGATGTTGAAGAATTTAGGTCAAATCAGAAAATTTTGAAAAAAAAATCAATAACTTGGCAAAATCGTAGCTGAAATTTAAAGATAAGCAGTTTTACAGTATTAAATAAACAAAATTCGTAGTTTTTGTAATAAAATCAATTACTCACCCTGATTGTGTTGAATTAATAGGAAAAAAAAACGCAAAATAAATGTTATTTCGGCATATTTCCGCAATTTTTTTTATCTAATTATTTAATAGTAATCTTTTTTTAAGAATCTTAGTTAAACTTGTAAAGAAATCTTCAAAATCAAGCTCCAAATGTCATTTCCACTTTTAATTGCAATTATTTTTTAATCAAAAAACAAAATTTGAATAAAAAAATGTTGGAACCACGGAAAAAAATCGTGAAGTTGAGTACCTAAGTTACGTTTTGTCTTTGATTTTTTGTGTTTTCTATTATTTGAAAAAAAAGTTGAATTTCATACGGCATTTAATTTTACGGATTAATTATTTATTTCTCATAGAAATTGGCTTCACTTGAAAATATTTTGAAGGATTATGACAAAAATCGTAAAATCCGATTTTATTTCAACTAGTTTTTTGACAAAAATTGTTAAATTGATGCAAAAAAAACCGCATTTTATAAATTTTAATTTTTTCAAATGTTTTCACTCTATTCCAAGCATATAAATCGCTTTTACAACTCCGAAAATGAGTTGTACGGCCTATGATACTTATTTTTTTTTACTTATAAAAATTACACTATTTTTTCTAGTAAGCAACCTGTATAAAAAAATAAAAAACACATTAAATAATAAAACAAACTTTCCTTTACAATTATGCAAAATTTGACTTTTTTATTGCGAAATAATAAAGATGTTAGAAGAATTTAAGTCAAAATAAAAATTTCCAAAATTTTGCAAAATATAAAAATACATAAGTATAGTAATGACGTAACTAAAATCCAAAAACAAAAAGCGGTTTAATAAAAATTCGTACCTTTCGTAATAAAATCAATGACTCACCCTGTACTTTAAAACGTAAGTTTTGAGTATCACGTATTTCAACGTTAATTGTGTTATTTTTAGAGATAAAACCCCGTATTTTTCTATAAAAAGTCACACTTAAACAACAAATAAAATCCCTAGATTGAATAAAATAAATCTCTTTTAATCTATTTTTATCAAAATAAATCTAATATTATTGGAGACCTAAAAACTAGTAGAAATTTAATAATTCGACACTGACACACTGATCCACATTTCATCGTGGCAAATAGATAAACAATACACCACACCCGAGATTATCTGCATAGTGATTAGATTATTTTTATTGTCAAATTCCTTCCTTCAAAATGATCGTTCAAATAATATCTATAATAAAAATGTTGAAACGGAAGTTCAGTCTACTGAACTGCAAAATTTCCTCATGCAACAAGTTCAATTTAATTAAAAAAAAAACACTCACAAGTAGCAAAAATAATGCTAAAAAGCCCAACTGACCTATTTTCGGACGCTGATCCTAACGACCTATTATCCTCTCTGGCTCCACTAGCCGTGGAAATCGTCTCAACGTTTCCCTCCAGATCAAATGTCGTCTCAATGTTTTCCCTCGAGGGCTCAGTGGGACTTAGGGCTCGCGGAGACCGGCTAAATAATTCCACAAAGCAACTTAAAAAACCACAAACAAGCATGCACATGCAGTGGAACCTCGACGTACCTGTCGTATATCCTGGCATTGTCCATAACGGCGGGATGCCTCATTCTGTCCTCGTGCACCGGGTCTAAAAATCGGTAGGTGTTGCTGTTGCCGAATTTGACGAGACTTCCATGGTTCAAAATGGTCGTTTGGTGGATGCGTTGGCCATTAACGTAGGTATGGGCGTCGGCATGGCAAGGTGTCAGAGATGTCACCCCGTCGGCGTTGGTGATGACGCAGTGACGCGGCTGGATGTGGGGGCCGTAGAGCTGGAGGGCGATGCCGTTCGCAGAGCCAACCTTTGAAGGAAAAAAATCGAGTTTGTTGAAACTGAAATGTTACTCCCCCATGAATATCAGCATTGTTCATGAACCACATGGTGTTATGAAGAATACCAGACGTTGATACTTCCCTCAATATCATTAAATTGAGAGCTAATTTAGATAATTGAATAACGCTCCCACGTGAATTGCATGAATTTTAATTACACTCGCGTCACATTGACGAAGTTAAAAATCAAAAATTATAAATAGAAAAAACAACTAATGGATTATCAGCAGCTTGTTGAATTATATTTTCATAAATTGCACTCGTCTTAATTAACATAATAAACTTGTTCTATAAACAACACGCTGATCATAACTTAACACGATTTTAAAATATTTTTAGAACTTTGCGTTAGATGCCAAATCGATCATTTGCACTTGAAAGCTTGATTCAGACATTCCTCAGCTCACATTTTGAAAATATTCAAGTGATGGATTTTTTAATCAAAATCATTCTCAAGTATTGTGATTTTCCACTGCATAAAATCACGAAATTTGTTATTAATTAATTAAAAAATACCTACAGGGGATGAGATTGAAAAAAATTAAGTTTGCGTTGGTTGAAAATTTTAAGAAAAAAGGAAAAAATTCAATACGGCCCGAAGGAGTGAATGTCTGTTCACCATTTTTCTACAGTCAAAAGCCCTTTTGACAAGCTTTGTTTTCCGCAAAAATTAAAGAAATCGCTGCAGAGGATGACACTTGAAAAAAAAAGTTTGTGTTAGTTGAAAATTTGTAGAAAAAGAAAAAAATTCAATACGGCCCTAAAGAGTGATTTCGATTCAGCATTTTTTTGCAGTCAAAAGCCCTTTTGACAAGCTTTGTTTTCTGCAAAAATTAAAGAAATCGCTCCAGAGGATGACACTTGAAAAAAAATAAAGTTTGTGTTAGTTGAAAATTTGTAGAAAAAGAAAAAAATCAATACGGCACTAAGGAGTGATTTCGATTCAGCATTTTTTTACAGTCGAACGCCCAATTGATAAACTTTGTTTTCTGTAAAAATTGAAGAAATCGCTACAGAAGATGACACTTGAAAAAAATTAATTTTGTGTTAGCTGAAAATTTGTAGAAAAGAAAAACATTCAATACGGCCCTAAGGAGTGTTTTCGATTCAGCATTTTTTTACAGTCGAAAGCTCTATTGATAAACTTAGTTTTTTTTTAATGGAAGACATCGCTACAGAGGATGACACTTGAAAAAAATAAATTTTGTGTTAGCTGAAAATTTGTAAAAAAGGAAAAAAATTCAATACGACCCTAAGGAGTGATTTTGATTAACCATTTTTTTACAGTGGAAAACCCTATTGATAAACTTTGTTTTCTGTAAAAATGGAAGAATTCGCTACAGAGGATGACACTTAAAAAAAATAAAGTTTGTGTTAGCTGAAAATTTGTAGAAAAGAAAAAAAATTCAATACGGCCGTAAGAAGTGATTTCGATTCAGCATTTTTTTACAGTCGAACGCCCTATTGATAAACCTTCTTTTCTGTAAAAATGAAAGAAATCGCTACAAGGGATGACACTTGAAAAAATAAAGTTTGTGTTAGCTGAAAATTTGAAGAAAAGAAAAAAAAATTCAATACGGCCCTAAGGAGTGATTTTGATTCACCATTTTTTTACAGTCGAAAGCCCTATTGATAAACTTTGTTTTCTGTAACAATGGAAGAAATCGCTAGAGGATGACACTTGAAAAAAATAAAGCTTGTGTTAGCTGAAAATTTGTAGAAAAGGAAAAAAATTCAATACGGCCGGCCGTAAGAAGTGATTTTGATTCACCATTTTTTTACAGTCGAAAGCCCTATTGATAAACTTTATTTTCAATAAAAATGGAAGAAATCGCTACAGAGGATGACACTTGAAAAAAATAAAGTTTGTGTTAGCTGAAAATTTGTAGAAAAGGAAAAAAAATCAATAACGGCCCTAAGTAGTGATTTTGATTAACCATTTTTTTACAGTCGATAAACTTTGTTTTTAATAAAAATAAAATAAATCGCTACAGAGAATAACACTTGAAAAAAATAAAGTTTGTGTTAGCTGAAAATTTTTAGAAAAGGAAAAAAAATCAATACGGCCGTAAGGAGTGATTTTGATTCACCATTTTTTTACAGTCAAAAGTCTATTGATAAACTTTGTTTTCTGTAAAAATGAAAGAAATCGCTACAGAGGATGACATTTGAAAAAAATAAAGTTTGTTAGCTGAAAAGAAAAAAAATCAATACGGCCGTAAGGAGTGATTTCGATTCACCATTTTTTTACAGTCAAAAGCCCTACTAAAAAATGTTGTTTTCTGTAAAAATGAAAAAAATCGCTACAGAGGATAACACTTGAAAAAAATAAAATTTGTTAAAAAGAAAAAAATTCAATACGGCCCTAAGAAGTGATTTCGATTCACCATTTTTTTGCAGTCGAAAGCCCTATTGATAAACTTTGTTTTCAATAAAAATGGAAGAAATCGCTACAAAGGATGACACTTGAAAAAAATAAAGTTTGTGTTAGCTGAAAATTTTTAGAAAAGGAAAAAATTCAATACGGCCCTAAGGAGTGATTTCGATTCACCATTCTTTTAAAGTCGAAAGCCCTATTGATAGACTTTGT